TTCTAAGTCTTTATGTTTCCAGCATAAATAAAAAAAAAGAAGAAAAAAAAAAGTACTTGACTGGAGTTAAGGCACCGAGAATCTTTACAATTTTTTTTATTGCTTTGTGAAAAACACAAACTTGCCACAACTTATTGTAGACTTACCAGCCGGGTCTGATGACTCTGTATTTGCCCAGTACTGACAAGTCAATCACTGTTGATCCGAGGCGATTCTGGTCTCCTATTGGACCACCATCTACCACCACAGCCAGTTTGGGCCAAAGCTCCTGAAACTCCTTCAGCAGGAAAAACACAAAACAAAAACACATTCATCACAAGTCGACTCTATGAACTTTAGACATATTTGTTTCTGACACTTACGTGTACGTCTACTGTGCTGGTTTGTGAGCTGATGTTGGCGCTGGTGAGCGCTAACGGTTCTCCACACATCTGACAGAGACGCCTCATGAAGTTGTGATCTGGGATCCGTACACCTACAAGCTGATAAGACCATGGACAGGTAAACAACAGCAGGCTGCTTATTAATAAGTCACTGATTGGTATTTATAAGTACAGTATTTATTTCAAGATGCAGACTTACTGAAGTAAAGGGGTTGAGATCTGCGTTTAAAGCTTCAGACCTTTCAAACACCAGAGTGACGGGACCAGGCAGCAGATCACCCAACAGCCCCTCCTTCACCTTCACCTTACAGTATCTGTTGATGGAAACAACGTGCTGTTACCAAAACAACGGAGGGTGGTGATTTTAATATTTATCTGGAGAATCTGTGTGCAGAGGATTTTATTTTTGTCCCCATTTGTAGAAAGACATGATCAGTGTTTAGAGTCAGGTCAAAACAATTACACAGCAAAACCACGYTCAGCTTGTCGTGCAAAAGTTCTTCAGTCGTTTTGTGTAATATGCAACTTCAACTTTTCACTAGACATGGGTTTTTACTATGTAAAAACATGTGCGCATTGCCTTGTAGCATGTCAGTGCAGAATGCCTTTGCCTGCAGCAGTGGACTCGCAGAATGAACTGACCAAGTTCAAATGTGTTTTCTATACCAGCTTGTGCCTGTCACATCAGCAGGTGTTTAGAATTAAGGTAATTGTGTGACAATATGAAGTTTGAAGAGATTTTTTGTTAAAGTTGCATTAGCTGGGTTTTGAACCCTGATCTCCCACATGAAAGTCCACGACATAGACCATTAGACCAATGGAGCTGTGGCAGAAGGTGGTGGCAGGGGTTGGTTTGTATGCGTGCAGAAAGAGGCCACATTGCCAATACAATTATTGACACAAAAATGCATAATATTACAACAATCAAGCAGTATTAAGACAATATTATAGTAAAACACCAAAATACAATCATATTAGTACTGTAAACACTGAACTACTGAGTTGAAATATTAAACTGTGGTGCAGTACCAAGTTGAGTACAGCATGGAGCAGTATTGGACCAATACAAGGCTCCATTGACTGCCATTATATTTCATTAAACATTAATATTTCATAAACTATAAGTTTTACAGGCACCAAAAGGCATAGCCATCTTTTGGCACGGGGCTTTACAGATATAAATTAGAATGGCAGCTCTAGGACAAAGTATGCAGGAGAAGAAGCATGGCAAAGTTGAGATGACTTGGATGGGAAACGAATCACATCTGATAAGATGTAAATGCTTACAAGACAATATTATTGCAAAAAATTGAAATAGAAACATATTAGTATAGTAAACACTGAATTACCGAGATTAAAAATATTATAAAACTATGGTGCAGTACCAAGTTGAATAGACACAGCAGAGGGCAGTATTAAACCAATACAAGGCTCCATTGACACCCATTATAATTTATTAAACATTAATATTTCAAAAACTACAAGTTGTACATGCACCAAAAGGCATAGCCATCTTTTGGCACAGGGGCTTTACAGATATAAATTACAATGGCAGCTCTAGGACAAAGTATGCAGGAGGAGAAGCATGGCAAAGTTGAGATGAYTTGRATGGGAAACGAATCACAATAGTGTGCACTGATTAGCTTGTCTGAACATTCTACGGAATCAAAACACAGACAGCTGCTGAAAAGATACATAAAATAAAGCAATGACTGCACTCACTTGTAAATTTCTTGAATTTCCCCAACGCAAATGGCCAGCGGCTTGTGTTCGTTACGTCCTTTCACGTCGTAGATTTTTCTGACAGCCTCAGAGTTTTGGGCCAGACATGCCAGGCCGTAGATGGTGTCTGTGGGAACAGCTACAACATGACTGTCCTTCAGAGCCTTCACAGCACAACTCAGGATCTCAGCGCCATCTGTGATTAAAAAATAAGAAACATCAAGATTACACATGTCCTATGCCCTACTTTGTTCATAATTCAATAAGTTTTAATGTTTGAGAGATCAGAGGAGCACAGATTATTCAGCCTTTAAAATAAAACCAGTAAATGATGTTTGCCATTCAAAGCTTTAGCCTTTAGTAAGATACAGTGACTCCTACAAGGAAAAAAAACATTCACAAATGAGGCGTAGCTTCACACTCGAGCTCATAACTGTGTAATTACTGGTCAGCAGCTGGATAATTTTAAATTTAATAGGATGCAAAAGTGATTTAGATTTATTTCACTTCCTTTAATAATTATCACGTCTACTTAACTGATCCAAACTGGACATGTATTGATATTAAACAAAATGTACCTGTTTGGATATCCTGATGAATTGTCGGCCCATTTGAAGTCGGCGGCAACAAACGAAGCAATTTGGTCTTCAGCTCTTTACACATTTTAGCTTCAAGTCGACGAACCGCCGCCGAACTGTGACCTCTTCTGAAACCGACCAGTTTAACAGCGATGGAACCAACTGGACCCATARATGTTACCTTATGGTAATCACATATGTCAGTCCACGGACCAGGAGCATGTTAGTGCCTGATGTAAGAGCAAGAATAGTTCCGGGTTACGCCCCGCCTAGCGTTACGTCATGTTTTTTTTAAAGGGACAGCTTTTTTAAAACAACTAATAATTTAATTCTTAGTTCAACAAAAACTAACCAGAATCGTTTTTTTAAAAAAGTAAAGTTAATAAAAACAATAGGATTTGAAAATTATTTATAATAAACACATCGCATAGCTTAACAAAACAAAGCTTATTAAAAAGGCTCTGTGAACGCTGGCCAACGTAACGATTTATTTTACGTCATTACGTCGCATCTTGATAGGACAATATAAATCACCTGTGAAATCTTTAAAACCAGCTTTTACGTTGAAGATGTCTACAGGTGTGCCCTCGGACCCAGGTAACATGCACATATTCACACGGCAGTACATTGTAAGTTTATCATGCTTTCAGTGTTTTTAAATATAAAATAGTTACAGCTGATGCAGAAACACAGGACAAAGAAGAATCTGTACGTTTATTGCAACAGGTTAGTTATGACATAATGAGGCTTTCATAGTTGTTCCACTGTGCTGACTAATATCATGCATTCAAGCAGAAAATGAAGGAAATGGAGGCCAGACTTGTCGATGTGTCTGAGAAAATAAACCTGTGCAATTCACTCATCGATGACTTGGTGGCAGTGAAACGTGTTTTAGTGGTGAGTGCATCGTTTTCTCCAACTTTTCCAATTATTGTTGTTATTAATCATTCTTGTGCTTTTGCAGAATAAATCCCTTCATGATGTGTCTTTACCACAGAAACCAACCAAAGAGTAATCTTCATTTTATTGTAATATGTACTTGAATAAACTTTACTATCATTACTTTTTGTGTAGGAGTGTAAAAAATGTCAGTACACAGAACATTTCAGTGACAACGTTTTATTAGGATTATATTGCTTTCAATTCATAAAGTTATTTATTATCACTTTGTACAAAAAAAGCATAAGCAAATATCTTCACATTATACATTCTTTTAAAAATACAAATCCCTAACATTTCCTCACTCTTTGGGTGTTTGGACATTTCATGGGAAGCATACTTTCCTATATTTATCAAAGGTCGTTAAAAAAACTGTTTTTTTTTTTTACCTGCTTCCGAATGAGTCCCAATCTGTGAAATACTATTATTACATTATCAGACAGACAAACCTGGGCTGAGTTAAAGACCATCTCTCTGATTAATAATGAAATATTGGCAGCCATAATGTTCACTTTCACAGAAGGAAAAAAAAAAAAAAAAAAAGACAAATGATCCACAAATGCACAAAGAGCTGCAACAATACCATAAATGGGAGTAAATCCAAATAAATGTGCTTGCTTACAAAATCTGTGTACACTTAAAACAAGAATTCTTAAAACAGAACCATTCTCTAAAGACTTGTCAAATAAACCCAGTTTGTTTTGAACAAGTTGCCACAGAAGTGAAATTTGCATTTAGGAGAGCTGTGGTGCAACACTCGCAGGCAAAAACTCAACTGAACGCTCCTTGAGTCCAGATTTGCACCACGTTCATCATGTCAGGATTTATCACTGCAGTAGAGTTCAAGCAGTGTACTAAATATGGTGACATTAAAAAAAACCTTTACTGGGTTTCAGTAAATGAGTTTAGATCAGAGGGAAAGCTGAAGTAACTTGTCTTTGACTTCCACTTTAAATTGCATAGATGAATATATTGACTATAAGAGACCAATGTATGAATTACTTCCCTTCCATAGTTTTTAGTGTCTTAATAATCCACTTGGGTCACATTTAAATTTAAACATCTTCACATACTGGAAATTATTTCAATCACAAAATTATAGAACTGTGCAAAAGTCTGAGCTATCTTTTTTTTTAATATAGACTTGTGGTCTTGACCAATAGTTTTTAATGCTCCCCGAGAGTTTTACTGTTTTCACATTCATTTCAGTCCAATTCTTATACTTGACTGAAGAAAATGGTTTTGTTAACCAACCTTATATTGACTAAAGTCCCTTTCAAGTATTAAAAAGCACAAATTCAAGGGATGAAGTGGTCAATTTTAAAATGTGACAATTTTATCTTCAGGCACTTTGTTACCAGCACTTCCTCCTTTCTTAAATCGCTTTCACAAAAAAATTATAAAAAAAGCATAATRGCCATAGAATCATATTTTGCTAAATACAATCCCTAAAAGGCTATTGGACAMAAATGATGTAATGCAGTAAATTGATTAAAAGAAATACTTTGAACACCTTCAGGGAGCCTAAACTGATTTTCAAGACCACTTTAAAAATAAAATTAAAAGAAAACATGTCTTTGTAAATACTTAAAACTTTTGCACAGTCCAAAAACATGTTCTTATGGTCATCAGGAACAACTGATTTCTTGGCCCCGGCCAAACAGGTGAAATATATTTTCCAATGAATTCCAAAATGGACTAGAATCTAGTTTCTTCAATAATTTTAACTCATCAAATAACCTGGAAATCAAACTCTGTTGTGATTTGCAGTTGATCTGGAAGTCAGACCACGTAAAACCAGAGCGAACCCCACAGTTTCATCTCTAATTTCTGCTGCTGGGGATCAGTGAAAATGAGAATCAACATGTTCATGTCAGGAGTGATGTTCAAGGCAAGGAGGCTTACAGAGCAGTTAATGTTGTAAGGCCAAGAGGCTTCAACACGTTAATCTACAGGAGATGATGCCTTTTCTGTCATCATTGCATTGTGTCCCATGTGAAAGAATACTGTTAAATTATACTCTGTATGTTACATAATGTTGTTAGAGTGCAGACTGTACAGAAGCCCGCATGCTCAAAGAACAATACCAATAAACAGCAAAAGATAAACTGCTCTACATAAATATGACAGAAGAATGCAAGGATGAGGGGTATATAGACTCCAAACTCTGAGTTAGTTAATTCAAAATTCTATACAAAAATACAAATCCTGGAATCTACAAGTTTCTCAAAGGTGTTTACACTAAATGCACTGTATTTACAATCTCTAGGACACCCTCTTTCAAATGCTACTAGACAGCAGTTGTATACAAAATGTCTGCAGTGGTGTCGCATCTCTAAACAAGCTGTTAAATTACTCTCTTTACAAGACGCTGTGCAAAAAATAGGGAAGAGTGCAGCAAAAATGTAGGGCTACTGCAAGTGAGGGCCTTCTGGTAAATGTCTGGGTAACAAACTAAAGGAAATGGGATCAGTTATGACTTGATGCATCCCTGAGAGGGTCACGACCCTGAAAACCATGGGATGTTGACAGTAGCTGTTTACTATTGGACCACTCTTACAAACCAACTGATCCTAGATGATCATTTACTTTAATGTGCTGTCTAGAAATACCTTTTTTTTTTTCCAAACGTCTTTTTCAGCAATACATGTTTAAGAAATCAGTAACCTTACAAAAAAACAAGAAAATAATCAAAAATATAAGATTGGAATAAATTATTTTTCTATCTTGAAGATAAATGTATAAGTATATTGTTAAAATCAAACATTTAAATAATTTAACATATACAAATTTAAGTTATTTTAAATTAGAGGCAACTTATTGACATAATGCCACTCAAAGAGATGAGTAGATCTGATCTCAGGCTCTTTTCTCCATTAGTAAATGCAAGAAAAAAAAAAATCACATTTTTTGACTACAAAAATTTTCAACAAAAATAAAATACTTTAAAAATACCTCAAACTATATAACAGCCAAATGAGGGGTTGGGTGGCCAACCACTTTAAACTCCTGCTGGAAGCAACATTTGACTGAAAATTATAGCAACATACAGTGCATTCTAGTCAGCTGCAAACCAGCTTTAATATTTCTTAGGACCTGTGGTACAGTACAAGGATACAGAAACAAGGTTTTGTTTTCCTTAATCCTTTTAGACAGGAAACCTTACACTATCAGTGCTTGAACAACACGCTATTTTATTTGATTGAGAGTGGATGTTAATATGATTAATATATACAGATCATGTTTTCCATATAGGATCATCTGCTGTTTCACAGCATTAAAGCTGCTAAATCTCAATAAGCAKTACTAATCTGGTTTCTAAAAACTCAGCTACAGCAATGAGACTCAACAAAAAAATATTTATAGTTTGTACCTATTTGTGTATTTTTCGATATATTTATCAATGTGAGGAAAGTGAGACACAAAGCAGACTGCGCTGCAAGAACCAAGTGGAACATGCACACTTCGTAAGGTGAAAATAAGGCATTACTTTGAGTGACGCGCAGTGTCGACCGAACAGAYCAACACGTTGCACCGGGCTCAGAAAGWAACAAATTTAAGTGCTGCCATCAGTGGTCATGTTGAATTCGTCTGCAACCAGCAGAAGAGCCTCGATGTTGGCAGCTGTTTCTGGGCTCTGCATGGACAGGAAGTCTGAGACGTCCATGCTGGCTAAGCCGTCAGATGGAGGTGGGTTGGTGGCAGTGTCGCTCACTAGAGTGGAGAAAGGCAGAGGTGTGGTGGAGCAAGAAGAAGAGCCGGGCTCTGGCCTTACCTCTCCCACYTTGGAGGAAGACTTGGGGAGGCAGCAAGAGGGAGAAGACGAAGTGGCTGAATGTTGGGGAAGTTCRGACGAGAGGGCGGGAGGGGGCTCTGAAGTTTGCTGCTGTGTTGGGGCTGAAATGTTGGAGGAGGCGCTCTTTGTTTTCTTGTCTTTAGCAGAATCCCTGCAGGCACACTGGCACTGGCAGGACTCCTCCTGTTTGATGATGATGACTGGCAGACTGAGGCCGATCTGTTGGACTGGGTTTCCTGAAAGAGAAACAACGTGAACTTAGGTCTTTGACACAAACATGCTTCTATTTTTGAAACTGTGGTGAAACTAATACTTTTAGGTTTAAGYCAGTAATTCATAAYATACTTTAAKGACCTAAGTTTTCATGACATGCTGTTYATCAGCAGATAGGATGAYTAAAGTCAGAACAAGATTTGCTAACAGTCATTCTTAGATATCACTTGTGTTTATCTTTGTGTTTTCCCTTGACCTAGAATTTCCTTAGYATTTAATCTTGCTTTATTAAGATGCCAAAATAGTTTTTGTTAAACAGTATATATGAGGCCTCAAAGGAAGAAGAGGARACAGGAGCAGAGAGCAGGGGGACAKTYTGATGTTGTTCTGTGTTCCTGTTGTTGCAATAAAACTCAGTTGATCATCCCAYRGAGTACCTTCATTCTTGGACTGCGTATTTCTGTCTTTGTTAAATAAATATTTCCATAAGAGAAACCTGTGTAGTCATCCATTTCTACCTATGAAACCTAAATGAGTAAATTCCACATGTGCAGGAAACTAACATTTTCTGTGAGTACATATGGACTACTACAAATTTATTAAATATAGTTCACAAATAAAGCTAAAAATACATACACTGAAAATGCATTGATGTATACTAAATAGTGATTGTAGAAATTATCTGTAAGTGCCTTTTTTTTTAACAATCTTTAATCTTAAATCACATTTACTGCATAAAAAAATAAACTGCATATAAATACAAAGTAAAAAACTTTCTTAAAGAAAGTTGAGTAGGTAGTTGATTGGACAAGTTCTTTGTCTTTCAGCAAAGAATCTGTCCTGACGACCTACTTAACTTTTTTTTCCCTACATGGATTATTGAGATATATCGGGACAAAACTTTCTTCACTTTTACTAGAAATTTATTTTGCAACAATTACTGACTTTTTTATGTTACTCAAAGATGAAAATGTGTTCCTTTCTTTTGTCTAACATCATTGTAATTTCTATTTGAGACATTTTCTGTTAGGGACTGCTAATGTGCTGTGGAAAACAGGTTTTCCCCTTCCTTTCAATTGCCAAAAATGTAAACTTATCTTTCCTCGTTCATCCGGGCTCAGAACATTACTATTTTTCTGGGCCCTGATGAAAGCTTTATGATTTGAAATGGGTTGTAGCCACAGACACGGCAATATCTCCTGCATTTCTTAATTGTACTTTTATTTCTATTCATTGTTATTTGGCTGTTGTATTGAGTGTGAGCACATTTTAGCAGTGCAAAAAACCCCAGACTGAACCTGCTGAAAGTAAATATTTATCATTTGATTTTTTTTGTGTGTGCCAAATGTCCACATCTTTAAAAAACAAGCAAAGAAAAAAGGGTGACTACACCCTGGCTTACCAGCATTTCCTCCTACTGGTATGGCTGTAGTGAAAAAAACCTTTTCCACTTTTGGAGCTCCTTGATGTGTCTGTGAACAAATATTACAGTTAATATAAGAATATATATAACTGGAGACACAGAGGTCTGTTAAACTGATTTTCACTAAGTTTATGTTGTAATAAAAAAGTAGTTGGGGTTTTTGTCATTTTAAAAGTACAATGAAAATGGATGTAAGCACTACTCACTGCTTGCTCTGGGTTCTGCTGGCTGTTCGCAGCACTGCTAAGGATCCACTGGAGGTTCTGGTCAGACATGACAAGGCCAGGCTGCAAAACGTTTGGGGCTGATGCTATGGTGATAGTGGCAGGGGTGGTAGCCAGACCAGGGCCAGTGTTAGTGACAGGGTTATTGGCCAAAGGCACAGGTTGTGCCACAGCTGCTAGACTATCTGTTGTTGCAGCTGTAACAGCTGTGGTTGCCAGTGCAGGAGCCACTGGGGGATGGACAGGGATGGGTGTTGGTAGAGGAGTGGTCTGAGCTGGAGTCTCTGACTGTAGGAATGTGGGTGGTAGTGGCACAAAGTGCTGGGAGGGGGCGTGGTTCGGTGCTTGGACAGAAGCCTGAGGCACATCTGAGATCTGCTGAGGCCCACTTAGCTGCATGAAAGAGGGAGTCTGTGTGGAGCTGACAGTAACGGTGGCAGGAACAGGAGTGGAAACCTGCGAGGAAGAGTTCTCATTGTGATGGCACGAAGCCTCCATGACAGCAGCGTTGCGGGAAGATGAGGAGGTAGGGTTGATAGAAAAAGAGATGATAGGTGAGGCATCCGTCACTCTTTGAGTGGAGGTTTCTAGGCTGAAAGGTTCAGAAAGGCTCTCTGAGGAGAAAAATTCAAAGCTCTATTAGGAGATGGAAAAAAAAAATCAATACAACCAAAGAAGGTAGGTTTTAAATAACCATTTTCTTACTGTTGGGGTTTGCATCATCTTGGCTGATGCTATTTTCAGGACTCTGGAACATGAGTTCAAAGATTTTCACAGGGGTCACATTGTTGAGGTCCAGGTTTTGAGTCTGTAATGCATTCAAATATAATGAAAATTATTTACAACAGATGCCACTCTTGAAGTAATATTTCATGCCAAAATTCATTTTTTAAAATACACACAACACTATAAAAAATCAGCCTCTATGATGCAGACATATAAGACTCCACATCTTCAATCTAGTTTGTGCTAAAAACATTAATATCCAGACTCACATTGTTGATGTTCTCTCGTAGCTCGGAGTCTGTCGAGATGAGACTCAAGTCACTGAGGCACAGCGAGTGATTTGCATCCTGTAATTAAGATGAGAACAAGCCACAATTAAAACTCACCAGTGCATTCTGATTAGGAGGCGAGTCGTCTAAAGCAGGGGTTCTCAAGCCATTTGGGTCTGGGGACCACTTACAAGGGCGAAAAAAAATCCAGGGACCCCCTCATAAACCCTGTGCTGTTTTAAAAAATAATTTATTGTCATTTCAACCCCTAAATGCCATGGGAATATAATTTTTTTTATTAGGTTTATTATGTTTATTTTATTAGTTCAATGTTATCCATGCATTTTTAAAAATAAAAACCAAACTAACATTTTAGTAAAAAAATTTTGAGGACTCCCAAGATACCTCTCACGGACCCCTGGGGGTCCAGGGACCCCACTTTGAGAACCTCTGGTCTAAAGATGAAAGTTAAAACGAGAACGGATGAGATGCACAATATACGTAAAAATGATGAGCAGAAAAAACAGAAAATTTCACTTTGAGAAAAGATAACTATTGTAAATTAAAGCTGTAAAATCACAGAAAAATAAATATTTTAACATTAGCAAAACCTGGGTCATCAAATTTAATTTCTTGGTGAATTTTATTTACATGTGGGGCACTGAAGTACTTTACTGCTGCTCTTTAGAAAAGCCCGAATACTGGCTCTTTTGTAGTCTAAACCTATTTGTCTCAAATAAACAACAAAACCAGGTATTAAAGTTTAGCACATGCCATCTCTTTAAGAATAAAACACAATTATTACAAATGACCAAGAAAAGCAATATGATTACTTAAACTGCTTCAAATTATTTGAATAAACATGTACTAATAACTTTATTTTTAAGAATGAAAATATTTTTTGAGCGCAACTAAGAGTCAAACATTTTGTGTAAAATAATGACTTCATCATAACTAAACCTATTATCAGGCTCAGATTCTTGCAACAAATGTTTAAAATACATTCCATCAACTTGATTTGTTTGTGTCTTTTCAAACCTACAGTAGAATTAAGGAATATATTCAGTAATTAACAGCACACACTGCTCCTGAATACAGCTCATTTAGAATCACAGCTTTTTAATTAAGTAAATAATTTTAAAGGACACACAGTCACGCTGCACTGAAAACAACAAAACAAATGAAGACAACAACGAAAACAAACGTTCCACATTCCCAGACACTGCCGTGCAACGACTCACTTCAGAGTGAGGATGGGTGAGGGTGACGGTAAAGGCCTGTTCCTTGCCGTGGCCTCGGATGTGACTCTTCAAACTGTACTGGCTGCTGAAAGTCTTCTCACAGCCGTCGCTCGGACAGTTAAATGGCTTCTCCCCTACAAATACAAAGAAGAAACAGGAGGGAATTCTTTAGTTTTACAGCCAGGTGAAAAGTTATATTATCCTTTCAAAGGAATTAAAAAAGAGCTACAGCAAACATTAGCAGTGTGACTACATGTCCATATTTATACCCTTATTGCAATAAAACAAAAGATATATTTCTGCTTCTCAGTCACAAAATGTTCAACTGTAGATGATTTTTTTTTACAAAAATCTCACAATAAACCTTTTTAAAAATATTAATCTTGCACTCGTTTAATCTGTAAACATTTGAAAGAAGAGGGAAAAAAATAGCCAAGCTATTTGACCAGCTTGTCCTAAAAATCCAAGGTTTCACTTTTGTTTCCATACAACAGAGACCAACTTACTAGGGCTGTGTATTGGCAAGAATTTGGCGATACGATACATATCATGACAGAGGAGTCACGATACGATATATCCCGATATATTTCGATACTGTAAACAGGGCGATATATTGCAATATTTTTGGTTCAAAAATTCTTTTAAATAAAAACCTCTTACTGGGAAAAAAAAAAACCTAAATTGATTGTCTCAGAAAATTCTAATATTACAGACATACTCTTGATACATTTAGCTGTGTTCTGCTTTGTATGTATTTTATTTTATTTGTTTCATATTTCATCCATGTTTTCAATTATTAGACTAAATTTGCCAATAAATAGTTTGAAAATATATTTTTGCAGCTTTTCATTTTTAATATTAATTTACAATATGGTCACCCAACACTTAACAATAGGCTTTATGTTGTCATAAAGTTCAGTAAACAGATGATATGAAGCTGCTGCACAGAGTTTCTGAGATCAGCTGACCTGCATCCAGAACGTGATTTGCATAACTGTGGGTTGAACAGCAGGGCAGGCCTGAAGAAAACCAGTTAAGAAATTGAGAAGCTGAACGAGTTAAACCGTTTTTGAAGCGAACACAGCAGGATAAAGTATGTGGACTTTGATGCGATCATCAGCTGGACATTGAGAGCAACAGACAAAGTTTTATGTCACGGGGGGAGTGCCGATCTCGCTCGAGGTGGTTGACACATGCGCTGTATGCGTAACGTGAAAGCTGACTACAGTTGGAAAAAAGAGCGTACGAAACACTTAATTTGTCTTAAAATACAGACATTCTGACAATAAGTAACTGTTTGTAACCTTACCTCAGCTTAGAAGGCAGAGGGTGTCTGTCTTTTCTGCTCAGATTCAGCTATCGGAGCATGAAGCTAATGTTTACTCACAATGCTAATGCTCTCTTACTCTCTGGCGCTCAAGAGGTAGAGGAGCCAAATGGCTGGCTCACTGCTGCCAACTAGTGGTCAGAGGCTGAACTACAACATAAAAATGAACGGCTGGCAGGAAAGTTGACATTTTAAACCTTAATAAAAAAATCGATACAAGGCTTTAGAATATCGATACAGTATCGGGAAATGAAATATCGTGATATTTCAGTGTATCGATATTTTCTTACACCCCTACAATTTACACAGTAACAAATGGATTTGAAAAGGCCACTGGTTCTTTCCTTGATTCCTAACTTTCTGGGATTAATAAATCAGCGTTGTACTGTATTTAATTCTTGAACAATTAAAAAAAGTATCAGCAAAAAAGTGAAAGTTAGGGTTCAGTAACTGGCACTTTGTAAGGAACATTTGCCTAACTTCTGTGAGCAACTGAGTATTTGAGCAAACAGCGATGTTAAATAAAAGTCCAAAACTACGTACCTGTGTGTGTTCGTACATGTGTTTTTAGATGATGACTAGCAGCAAAGGCTTTCCCACAGCCATCATGATCGCAACTGAAAGCAAGAAAAAAAGAGGCAAAATTTGCTTACAAATACTTCAAACTAGAAAGTAAAAAACCGTCAAGACAGTGGAAACGATAATTCATCTAAGCCTTAGCTGACTGTGTGTTAATATAAAATACATAACTTCAGAACTGACTCCATGCACCGGCCAACTCTTGCACAGACTAGTATCTATTAGTGTTCTTGTTCCTTCAGCTTTAGCCAGAAGTGCATTAAAGTCATTGTCATAATGGAAATGCTCACCGAAATGGCTTCTCCCCAGTGTGTGTGCGAATGTGCTTCCTCAGGTCACTGAGTGTGGTAAAGTACTTTGTGCACCCCTCCGATTCACAGTTGAATGTCTTGCCTGTGTGAAGTCTCTGGTGTGCTTTTAGCCTGCAGAAACAATCAAGTGGGTTTCATTACATCCTTTTCAGAGACTTGTTGGAGAGGAAGGGAAAAAACAAACACAGCAAGTTTATTCAGTATTTGTTTATTCTCACTGGTCTTTTAAGATATCTAAAAAAGCAGTAAGAAAATAAAAAAGCAGCCCTTCAAAATCTAGGGCAGACAAGAATAACAAGTGAACAAAGTCTACACACACTGCTAACATTAACAGTCTCAGTATCTGGGTGACAAGAGGACAAGAGAGGAAAGTAATATAATTAAAAAGACAATTCATTCATGTGTGGCATTAAATGGCTGCCTGGAGTTACAACCTCTGACACAGAAGTGATGCTGACAGCGCAGCACCATCAAGCTTAAGACACGTTGTCATAGAAACTATACCGATACAAGCCAGAAGGCCCTGATGTGGTCCAAAATCTAAATGGTTATCATACTGACATTCATGTCTTTGATAAACGGCTCTGGCAGTTTGTCAAAGTGACCAAACTCCATTAAGATGTTGAACTGTGTCATGGTCATGGCATTTGACTTAACTTTAACTTTTAAAGCCAAATTCTCACTTTTTTCCCTCAAAAATTGAAGTAAACAGTAGTTTAATCTGCAACTTTTACACTTTACAAGTCAGGGACTTTAACACAACATCATTTTCACTTTATAATTTTGGGAAACACAAAAACCCAACTACATACTTGTTAAAACTTTCTATTTATTTCAAGTAGTGAATCAAAGATACAGCTGGGGAAAAAATGAAACAAGACAGTCAAAGCCTTTGGGTCCACAACTCTTGTACAAATCAGCTATGCAGGATTTTACAGCAACGTTTTAATCTGAATTCTCATCTGCCTATTCTTATCAACTTCAAACTACTTGAGCTGACATTTTGCATCATGGCTGTCCTACAGAGGCCATTATGAGCCTAGCTAAGTAAGTAAATAAGCACCTTTTAAAATCCACTACAGTTTGCTTATTGCCCTCAGGTCTGAGTAAATGATACCATCTACCATACYTTCTTCTGAGCCTCCGCTGCAGATGGAAAATCATGCAACACATTATTTTATTTCTTCTGCACTTGTTACACGATCCAGAGACTGCAGTGAAATGTTTCCAAAAAAGGTGGATACCTCCACTTGGATTATTTCCTATCAGACAGGCTGAAGTCTAGAGGAAGGTCAGTACCACTCTGTTATACTTACACTGCAACTACAACTGAGTCTTGTCATCTGCAAAAAAGATTCAGATAACTCTGCAGTTGCAGGAAACTTTTAGTAGTGGAGAGTAAGCTCAAGAAAGTTTAGGATAACTTGTAGGATAACTTGTTTTTGTAAGACAGGATAGATAGTGACTTGTTAACAAAAAATAAAATGAACCTAAGCCACTGAGGGGCTGCTGACTGGCACTTAGTTGACACGTTGTTGTCCTTGATCCAATGAATGAAGGCTTACTCACTATTAAAGAGCATTTACCGTATTTATTCATGTATAAAATGATCTCGAGTATAATACGATCATCATTTTTTGATCTTACAAAGCATAAAAATCTAATTATCAATAACCCGTGTATAATAATAAAAATATCCCTTCACTTTATGGATGATTTTTAAGGTTAAAGGGGCAATATCATGTAAAATCTACTTTTTTGAGTTTTATATCATGTTATAATGTTATACTTATAAAAAACATGCCCAAAGCCTTGCTTTGACTCATTCATGCATGTTTGAGAAATCCTGCAGCGTTTTTAGGCAGCTATGCTGAGAAGCAAAACAACAGGTGGGGACCAGAAACACCTTTTGGGACCAGAAACACCCCTGGGACGTGTCTTTAAGCTGAACTTCGTCATCACGGAGCACCCCCCCACCCCCCACACACCCCGCCCATGACTCCTGCAGGCTCTCAGCAGTAACAAAGCAAACGAGTGAAACTGAAAGTGAAACTTAAACTGTCTGCTGAGCTCAACTATTTCTCACTCAGTGAAGCTCTTTTCAGATTCAAAATACCTTTGAGGAAATGTATTTTCAGATGCCAAGTAAACTGCATCATAGCGCATGACCTTTGGGTACTACACCAAACAATAAACACCAAGTTCAAAAATGAACTACTGATTTTATATAATTACCCTATCTAGTAATCAAATGTTTGACATTTAAGGTTTTGGTGCTGAATGACTGCAAGTTTGATAAATGAACCATGGCTACATCTGCACTTGTCAAACAGTTTCTACAGACAACAACAACGACATGAAGAAAAACCAAACAAAACAATAAATATCTGTGACGGCTCACCTGTACAGTGTGTTAAAGGCCTTTTCACAGCCTTGAACGTCACACTCAAAAGGCTTCTCCTTGGTGTGAACACGGACATGGATTTTGAGACTGTAGGAAGTGAGAAAGGCCTTTCCACAGCCCTGCTGATTACACACAAATGTGTACTCGCCCCGATGTGTTTTCTGGTGTGTACGCAGATTTCCTGCTGTGCTGTATGTCCTTGTGCAACCTTCAAATGTGCACTGATAGCGCTTTACCTAAAGAGGAAAAMAAACAAACAAACAATGATGTCATTAAATTAAAAACAAACTAAACGTGAATTAAACAGTTTGTTGACTGAGCTCARAGATAATCTGCCCTGATTTATGACGTGACAAATGCGTCAGTGCAACCTTTCAGATGGGACTTGCTCTCAGTGACTCAGCCAAATGTCAGTTTTCAAATTTGTTGAGCATAAACGACAGCAAAGATGACTAACCTCGCAAGCAATACATCCTTTTCAATTCTGTCTCACAGCACTAACGTCCATTGCAATGTGGCAGTCTCCCTGCTCGCCTCTAACACATACACCCCAGGGCAATGTGAATAATAGCAGCCTATTCACCTCTTCGAAAAATGCTATAGTGCAATGAACACAAAGCCAGGAGGAGGAAGCCTGTGGAAGGTCTCTTACAATAGACTGGGTTGACATTACCCTGCTAACTTATTGTTCGTAATCCTGTCTGAAGAGCTAAAACATAACCACACAGGAGCAAAAACAAAGAGATTACAAAATGTTTGAGGGATCAGTGAAAATCCCAAAATGCTGATGTAACTTGTTCTCAGTGTCTCACAGAATCCTCAGGACCCTTCTGACATAGCCCTTCTACATACACATCATCACAGCTGTTCAAGCATTCATTCGGACTGACAAACACTAATCTGAGTGATGTGCAGTCTAATGCCTTTAACTCTTTGTTATTAGTGTGTGGGAGAGGTATTTGTTAAGCAAATATCCATGCAAAGCCATTATGGAAGCTAGCTAAAGCCCCCAGCTTGGACCAGTTCTCATGTCACAGCAACTAGCGAGTCTTCTAAACATTTTTTTCTTTTTATTTACTTGCTAAAAAAGCAGATTTTTATTTTAAAATTAAGACAAAAAGAACCTTTCATGTGCCTTATACTGAGACTTCTCAGTGAAACTGTTACATTGGCTGTGTCCAAAACGGCAGGACGGGTCCTCCGAAGGTCGAATTTGTCGGCCGCATACGTCACAGCRCYGYRACGAAGGACGTCCAAAACGGAAGACTCCTCCGATGCGTCCGACAAATACGTCCTTCTTTTTCCCCGAATCGAAGGACAGGTCCGATGGATCCTTCCCGGCC